GGCCCTGTGGGCAGCCACCGGGGCAACCTGAACAAAGGCACACACTTGCTCACAGGCTGGGGACTCTCCTCCCTCCCCCACGGGAGAGGACCCGCCGTGTACTCACGAGGCCTTTTGATCACGATGCTTCTTGGCAGGCTGGCGGGAGAGACAGCGGTAAGGGACCAGGAGACGCCCCGGCCCGGCCGCATGGGAATGAAGGGAGCAGCCGGGGCCGGGGGGGCAGACTCACCTGTCCGGCACAGCACTGTCGTAGGTGTAGGTGTCTGCGGGAGAGACGGCCAGTGAGGCAGGGAAAGGGAGTGAGGGAGAGGGTGACAGTCAGGGGCACGCAGGAGAGTGAGGGACAGTTAGATGGAGTGAGGGACCCCGGTCCATGTGTCCGGCATCTGATCACCCCACCAGCTCCCACTCACCTGGCAGCTCTCGGCAGCGCACACAGAGCGCCATCAGCAGCACAGCCAAGAGGGGCAGCAGCAGGAGGCCCAGCGCCAGGGGGAGCAGGATGGCCGCCTCCATCTGCAGGACAGAGCTCGGACCAGACCTGCTGCTCGCTGGATGCCCCCAGCACAGAACTGCCGCGGAGCAAGCGCCGGGCAGTGGGGCGGAGGGGCCCCGGGGCGGAGGGGCCCAGCGACACCAGGCGGGAGCCCGGCGGGCAGCCGTGCCCTCCTTGAGGGCTCCTGGATCCCCGCCCGCCTTGGGCCGAGTGCGTGGCAGTGCTGGCTGTCAGACCCTTGGCCCCAGGCAGTCAGGCCAGGGCCTGGCTGGAGTCTGGGGCACCAGCCACCCTGCGTGGCCCCCGCACCCAGGCCTACCTGCCCCTGGGCTTGGCGCCCGCCTTTCCTCAGTGCCTGCCCTCCCGCCTGTGGCAGGAAGCTGTGGTGAGCGCCGGGTGAGGGCAGGAAATCATCAGGCTCCTCAGCCGGCTGCACCTACCCCCTTCCCACCCCCACCCAGCAGTGGGGAGAGCGGAGGAGGCCTGAGGAGCCACCCAGGTCCTCCAGGGTCTGCTGGTCTCCAGGACAAGGGGCACTCACACCAGTGGGGCAAGGACAAGCAGCTGCCGGCAGCCAGCAGCAGCCTCCATGGCGGGGCTCCAGGAGGCAGCAGAGGGAGGCTAACACCCAGGCACAGGGCCCACCCCTCACCCCAGCTGGCCTTCCAACAGGGCGGGCTCTGGGGGAAACAGGGGCGTGACTCACGGTCACAGGGAGCCAGCTCACTCCGGCCTCGCTCACCCAGCCCCGGACCCCGCAGGAGTGGCCAGCGGCCACCAGGAGCCTTGGGGCT